CTTATCGTGTACCCTATGTCCTGAGAGTTTCACAAACTCCATAAGTTCCTGATCCTGGGCAACAGGGGACCACCAGGAGAAACCCAGCCCCTCCTGAAAGCTGATTTAAGATACAAGAGGGCAACAGAAATCACTGGCTGATTTTGTGTGAGATGGAAGTCTCTGTCGCTGACGCACAGTCCTTTGTAAGACTTAAAGGCTGCCTTCAAGTAGACCTTGGACTGTTTTAACTAGATGTCCCACATTTAGCTGACTGGCCCCTGGGACTTGCATGGGATATTTCAGTTTGGCACAATTAAACAACTAAGAAACAGGATCTAGTAAAGGGACACATCTGGCAGGTGTAGTACACAGTAGCATCATATGGAATTACCTGTATTACGGGGCCAGGGAACTTCCTTGCTTTCTCTAGCTAATACACCTGGCTCTTCATCCACCACAAGCTTTAAAACAAGTGTAGTTGTAGATGTGATTGTCTAAGGATATGAGTAAAGCTTTGTAGGGAGAGTTAATCTCTTCTATTAGGGAAATAGATTGACTTTCAGACATAAGGCTTTTTCATCCTTCCCTCTGATATTTACCCGATGGAAAAAAAAAAAAAAGGCATGCAAGTACATAGATCCAAGCCTCAGGCTTAGGCGAAAAAAAAAAAAAAAAGGCAAATCAAACCAGAAAACTAGTTTATGTATAAAAGAAATCATGGCAGCATGTTGCTCAGTAGCAAGAAAGGTGAATGATATTTTTTTTTTTCATTAAAATGAAAGCCCCTGAAAACCACGGCTTTCCTACTGCAATCCACACACATGCACAACCAGTACTTGTCACCACTGTAGCCCTTCTTCTTCTCCACAACGTGTCCTGCACGCTAAAGTCTTTGTGTGTATTTGGATGCTTGATCTTTGCTGGCCACTTTTGTAATTACATCAATATTATTTCGCTAAGCTTAAGGAATCTTGAAAAGGAACAGCTATAATCTGTCTGTCCACAGGAGCATTCCAATTTTCATCTGGAGATGAGCAAAAAGGGGTTTTGTTATTTAGGCTGGTCAAGCAGTTGTTTTTCTGTTAAGGAACATCTGAAATGTTTTCCACCGCAGGGGAGGAGGAGAAGAACTGCACAAGGGTGGGTTTCCATGGAAGCATCCAGTCTGACACTCGAGTAACTGCTGATAGGGCTTCTCAAGTGGTACATTTCCCAGTGCACCCAAACACGCCAGCAGGGCTAGGTGCTCGTGCAGCAGAGATCAGCTTGCAGCAGTTGATCTGTTCCAGGCAACAAACAGACCCTTCACCCCACAGGAAGAAAAAACATACATCCTACCAAAACACTGAAAGCCACCTCGACAACATGCCTTTAAAAGGTGTAAGGGACAGTTGGTGCTTTGGGATTTCCAGTTCCCCTAAACACTCATTTCTCCTGTTCTTTGAACAGATCTCCATGCTTCCTTAGCATTTATTTCACTTGGGTCAAAACGACTGCCCTGCAGCTGCACTGAAATGTATGTTTGTTTCTTGTTCCTCCTGGGAACAGGAAAGAGATCAGGAAGTTTTTGGAGAAACTGGCAGTGAAAAACTTGTACTGAATTAATATTATCAAAATATTTCATTTGCTCATGATTAAGGCTGACTTTTTTTGGATAGTATTTTGAAATATTTGTCAACAATACTCACCAAGCCTGTTTTACAAATGACATTTCAATATGCAGTTGGATAAAAATAATTCCCTTGACGCAAAAATGAATTAAAACTTTAATTTCTAAAACAGGGCCAAGTGTTGAGAGAACTGATGAATTTTGAGACTCAAAAATTAGGGACGATGTAACCAGGTGTAACTAGCACACTTGGATTTCTTAAGCATTAGAGAAGAAAATGACCACATAAAACCAAAAATAGTGTTATGAAGGCTAATTATTCCTGCCAAAAATCACAAGGTGCGCCAATCACTCAAAACCAAAGCCACTTAAAGCTGTCGAGGGAGCAGCTCTCCTTTGGTTTTGCAACCAACAACAGACACCTCTGGGCCAGGTTACTCAGAAGATAAGCACAATATTAATTTACAACACTCTGGGCTCCTATCAACATCCCTTGTTTCACTTTAATTTGTTTGCTATGCATACTCTTGTGCTGGCTGAACATTGCCCACCAACAGTCCATGCTGATTTTCCCCAGACATGGGTTGTTACCACAGCTGCCAGACCTTTCAACTGCAGCTGGACCACTGTCCAGACATTTGGTTGTTCCCTTTAGAGACATCTCCTAGAAGAGCACTGGCAAATTGCTCTGACCCTGTGGATTGATTCAAAAACAGCAGATAAATTTTGCTTCACCCACTTGAATGCTGCTTCTTTTTATTACAGAACTCATATCAGTTGCCAAAATGGGTGCATATGAAACTACTGTAACTCCTGTAATGATCTGTTATATAGGATACACTAATTTGACTGGTACATACGAGTAAAACTATAGTAGGGGTTCCAGCTGGAAGGAACTGCAAATGAGCAGTTCATGATTTAAATGTATTGGGAGTAATTCAGTCACAGGAGGCTGTTATGACAATGCAGCAAGGAATAACAAACAGCAACACAATGGTCCCCAGCTAAAGCAAAACAGTTTCCAGCCCTTTCAGAAGCCAAACAAAGAACAAAACAAATCACAAACAAAAATCCCTCCACACAGATATGAAAGCTCAACAATGGAGTCAAGGGGAAACAGGGGATATCTGCATCAGGCTCAATGGCATCCTTTCTCCCAGACAAGTACCAGCTTTTTACCCGTTCCCTGCTACGGCAACTACAGGTGTGCAATTATAGCACGAAAAATACGAGAAATGCTTTCTTCTGCTTGCTGACCTACTGGGAGACACATGGCTACATTCTTCATATGAGATTTCTACATTCCTCTTGTCCTCACTCAGACCGCCAACACTTCCACTCACCCAGAATGAGAGAGAAGGTCCTTCCAAAATATTTAGTTAAGCTCATTTCATCCTTTTGATATTGGTTTTCTCTCACTCTCCCTACAGAAATGCAGCAGCCCTCCAGAGCTGGGTCAGTAAAGCCTTAACATGTGGGGCTACAGAGAGAGTTTAAAGAGAAAAAACTATGGAAGAGATAATAAAAAAACCCAACAAAATCCCCAACAAATCCAACATCAGCGAGGAGGCAGAAATTACTATATTCTGTATCACTTAAAGTTTGCAAAGTTGTACTGACAACCGCTATATCTAAATGTATTTGCAGGCAGAGAATCCAAAGCATCAAGATGTGTAATAATGCTGTTTTTCACATGAAAGGGAGTCCCTCCTTAAACAGGAGTGTACCCCTACCATGAACCTGCTGAAAAAAGTAATCAGTCACAAATAACAGTCATAAAACCATTTTGATATTTTGCATTCCTCCATGGACAATATCATTATACACGGCTTAAATAATCCCTCTAGCACACAGTTGCATTTTTTTTTTTATCATATTCCTTAAAGAAAACTTGGGTAATTTATTTTTTTCTTTCCCCTAAAATACATTTTGTTTCATTTGCAAATTCAAGAAGCTGACTAGCTGAGAAAAGCCAAATTTAGAGTTGGTGGGAAACTCCAAGTCTGATTGTGAGACATTTCGTTGCCACAGAGATAGGTTTTCTTCAAGATACATTTTTTACTCTGGGGAATGTTCGCAAAAAGGAGGTGGGGGGGATGGAGATCACCAGGTTAACGGCTGCTCACATACCCCTAAGCTATTCAGAACTTTACCAGAAAGATGGCATTTACATTGCAAAGCCATGTTGTGTGCGATGCAGATCCAGGAACTGTAACACCCAATTAATGCACAAACTAATTAACACCAGTCTGCCAACTGCACCGGAAAGCACAGCAGTGACCTGGGTATGAATACCACAGACCCCAATAAGGGCTTTTTCACCCCTCACTGATGAAGACTGCTTTATTCGTTAGGCACTGATGTAAACGGTGACATTTTTGCATTCTGGATGAAGTCTGACTTTAGCACTGACTGACTGAAGCTACAGTTACCCCAGAGACCTTTGGCAGCGAGTATTGGCCAAGCGCAGGCAGCATTACCCCTACCCATGGGCAGAGCTACTGAGGTCTCCCTGCAGCCCCTGGGGTCAGAGCAGTTAAGAGTTTGAAAAAGTGGGAAAAAAGAAACGCTTCCACTGTTTTCTAACTAGTCTAAATACAGACTGCAACTGACGGTGTAAAATGGGTGTTTATGGGCACTGTCAAGCCCATAAGAAGGAAGAGGGGAGCCTGAACCAAATCTGACAGGTGAGCTGCAGATCTAGAAACTCTTCGCCACACACACACTCACACAGTCTCTGCTGCAAAGCACCCTGCGAGACAGGAGCATGGCTATTTCAGTGACAATCCCACTCACAAGAGGAGTCAGCTCTTTCTAAAAGCATCAGTAAACCAAGGAACTGATAATTTAGACTCTCAACCAAAACCTGCACCCTGCCGCTGTGCCCCCCCATTCCCAGAGCAGCATCATTCAGATGATGCAGGGGAGGAAAGGAAAACAGCTCTTGGAGCAAGGCTTTAAAGAGAAACTGTGATGTGGTTTAGGCCTACCATGGGGCTGACACTTTAGAATTGGGGGTCCAAGCGCTGCTGCTTCTCCAAACTAACAAAATAAGTGTTGTGTGACGGGCAGGACCCCAGCCAGCAGTTTCCTTACAGCACAGTTTCCAGAGGCACACAGGGCTAAAGGTGCCCTCTGTAGCCATGGTAAAATTCTTCAAGAGACGTCTCTAAAGACATACAGCACTGCAGGATGAGACTATAATTACTAGGACTGTTCAACAGGCCAAGTAATTTTAAACACAGAGCTGGAGTTTGGCATGGTTTTTCAAGAAAAGCAAAATGAATGAATGAATGAACAGGATGATTTTACAGGCAGTAAATAGATTATTTAATTCTGGGCAGCAATGCCACATGCAGCCTTTAGAGAAGGACAGAGGGATTTGTGGCTGGCTGGCTGTCGTACTCACCGGGCACCACTCCTTTGATGTCGCTTTCTGTGTTCATCCTGTTCTTGTGCGTGAACTGAAGGATCAGTTCCTTGGATGCCTCAAACTGTTGTGTAGCCATCAGCCACCGAAGAGACTCTGGGAAAATACTTTAAAGATGGAAAACAGGTTAGGGTCGCTTCCAGGTTTCTGTCAGAGGAAGAACTGATAGAGTTTAGCTGCTCATTTAACTGTTCATGAGCCACATAATTCTTTTCAAAAAGCAGAAGAATCACTTATGAAACAAATAAGAGGGAAAACAGAATGTGTAAATTAATGTAATTTTCTTTTACATTGATTCACAAATGGTATAGGAACCATCCTATCACGTAGAAATAGAACGTAACAGAATTTTATAATTCTGCCTGTTAATGCAATTTTGAAAGAACTGGGAAGAGGAGGCAGCACTGTCTAAAACAGACATTTGCTGCCAAGAAGGGAATGAATGAGATATGCAGTTAACACATGGTAATTCAGATCAAAGAAGGAAAATAGCTGACAGAAGTGATTTGGATTCTCTTGTAAAGACAGAAAGAGGAAAGAGAAAAATTACTTTTTAGGATTATAATGGAATAGATTTTTTTTTTTAATTTTTAAACATGTCAGAAATGTTCTCCCACATATGCAGACTTTAAGCCATTCTTTTATACAGGCCAGTATTGTGTATGCTCCAGACAACATTCATTTGTTTCTCTGAAAGTTTACCCTAGCAAAGATAGTATTATGTTAGTTAAGTTGCCTTAAAAATATACACATGCAGACAGAGTTACAAAATAAAAAAGTTTATTTTCCATCTGGTTGTTTCCTTCAAGTGCTGATATTCACCTGATTCATTAGCTTAACTTTTTTTTTTTTTTTCAGAAGAGTTAATTTTAATACAAAACCAAAAGAAATACATAGATCTTAAAACAAACAAACAAAACTCTCATACTTCCATAGATAGGAAAGCTTCCAGATCTGACTCCATGCCTATTTTTCTTTCTTGTTTAGGCCTCATTTTTACTAATCTTCCAGAAGACCTTTCTAAGAACAAATTTAACAACTATATTTCACTTCAAAAATACAATAAACCCGCAAATTTCCTTCATAAAGCACTGTGGATGCTGCCTCAGTTCTTATACCTCTAAGCAGTGGATCGAGCGATTGCACCATTATGGTACGATCTTTTAAGGCTGATGAAATTTGGAAGATAACTTAGCGAGACCTCAATCTTAGGAAGGGCAAGTATTATTTTTTTTTTTTGAAGAAGAAAAAAAGCAGACTTCAATCCAAAGGATATCAGGGAATAAAAATATATAACAGCCATGATGACAGCCATTCAGCTTTACAGCTTATTTACTATCACCGGTGCTACATGGATGCTTTGGCATATCCTCCTGCAGAAAGTCCTGTACTGCAAAAGCATTTTTTGAAATATTAAAAATTATTTGAATGCAAAATCTCCCTGCACTGGGCTCTGGAGAGGGGACAGCCTCAGCCACTAGTCTAAAAGCTGCACTTTTTGAATGGTCTGCTTACAGGTCCCAAACGAAAAGCCCCATGGCAAGCACCTGCTCCTCAGGGAAGGAAGAGAGACACAGGGATGGGCATTGCAGGGACAAATGCTGTCTCTGCCTTCCAGCCGCTGCAGGTGTCTGAAACTGGAAGTGATGAAGCCTCATGTCTTTCAGCTGCTCCACTACTCAGTGTGAGCAGTGGGAGGATCTTTAAAAACTCCTGGGCTGCTTTAAGCCCACATTATCAGGTACAGCAAGTGGAAGTGCTGGCAGCCTTGTCTCTGTGCAAGTGCCCAAGCTCACTTGTGGAGCGTGGACCCTGCTGCCAAGGGTCATTTGTACGCACCTACTGTTGCACCTTCTGTTGCCAAACCAAGCATGATAACAAACTCAAAAGCCAAACCAAAACAAAACAGCCAGCTCCCTGGCCCCGGTGGACTTCTGCACAGAAATTTGGTCACAACCTCGTGCTTTGTCACCTGGCATTAAATACTAAGTGAGTGAAGCTGAGAGAGCTTTCTGCTGAGGGTGGGCAGTTGCACAGATGACCAGGCTGAGCTGACTGTGGACACCTGGTTGATTGTCTTCTATCTCCTCCATCAGCAAGGAAAGGACCAGCCTTTTGCAGTCAAAGAACAGAACAGGGCAGGTGGGCAGGTACAGGGGAAATGTTTGTCACCTGTTACACAGCTGCTGCCTGGGAGAGGAGAGGGGCACGGTCCTGTCAGGAGCTTCCTGCATCCAAGGTAGAGGAAATAATGCCTCTGTATAACTGGAGCTCCCCTTCCCTCATGGCTCTATACACACACACACACACTTTGAAAAGAGCCTATCTTCTATTAACTTATTTTTCTGTGTGCTCATGTCCAGCTTACGTGGGTGCCGCTCTGCCTTCTAGAACAACCCGAGAGCTCAACAAAGGCATCTGCTCGATTTGCAGGTGCCCCAGCCCATCCCTCCTACACAAATCTGTTGTTTTGCCCTTTCCCCCCTCATCCACGTCCATCTTCCCAATCCACTCAGCCACAAACTGCCTGGGGACAGTATAGCCTGCCACATCCATGTGGCCAGGAGCAGAGTAAATCTATAGGTGGGAGAGGGCTAAGCCCCAGCCTGGAGGGGCAAACAGCTCTCTCACAGCAGGAGATGGAAGTAAAGACAGGAAGGAGAAGGCAGCTCAGGGGCTATCACAGCATCTGTTACTGAACTCACTGCCTTGGGGACACAATGGGGAATCAACAGCAGTGCAGTTTTCCAGTTCTTTTATTACAAATCAGTTAGTTTTCTTCCTTCCTCTGTAACATATGCTGAGGGTCCACACTCTGTTTCCCAACACAATGCTGGGGAAGAGGGAAGGGAAGGAAAGGAAAAAGGTAATAAAAGAATATGCAACAGATGGAAGAGAAAAGCCTAAAAGAAAAGTGCATACTGTACCGACAGTATAATTAAATAGGCATTCTAACCAGAGTCCATTTCTGCTAATGCAAAAACCGCAGGCGATGCAAATCCTGTTACTTCAGCTGTTACCACTATTTATCAAGCTGCCATATCACACATTATATGAGGGGAACTATTTATGTGGTCTGCCTGTCCCATACAGCCAAAAAGCCACAAAGCTCTTGCACATTAGGAAATAAATGTTAGCATTTCCTATCACTTTCAATGTTACCCAGGTATGACCTCTCAACAGGAATGTCCAAGACCCTGACTCAGCCACCTGGAAAACCTGCTACCTCCAGAAGATTGCTGAGGGGTTACTGCTGTCCATGTCATTTACCATGTTCATTAGGCATCTTCATACTATTGCACTGTCCTTTTGGACACAAATATCTGCAAACACAATGTTTGATATTGGGTTCTATCCAGTGGTGGATACAAGGCATTCCAGCTGGCAGGCAGCCCAACAGGAGCTTTTGTGGTAGACCTACATGTGTATAACATATGGCAGGTTTGGGAGAACAGTATCGCACATTAACAAGGACACCCTTGGTTATTCGTCATCAAGATTAACACTGACAAGACGAGACTATTTAGATGTTATATGTTGGAAAACAGGGAAACAAAAAAAAAAGCCATTATCTTGCAAAGGACCTGTCACTTTCTCCTGTGTGCTGCCTTTTGCCCTCAGCTCAAGCTGCAGTCAGTCTACCTTGGGGATAAGTGAAGAAATCCCCACTGAGGGTTACCACTATGAACTCAGGAGAACTCTGCAAGGCCTTCATACATTAACAGAAAAATATCTGTCAAAAACTCTTACATAGTGTAATAAGTTTTTACATGTTGCAACTTGTGAGATGTTAAAACTAGCAGCTTGGCCCTCCACAGTACATAAACAACTTGGTCCTGCACAGTGTGGTGGCCTTTTTTCCTCATTTTTCTCAGTGTACAGCAACTAAATATTCTAGTCTTGTTAGTGGTATCTTTAAAACAAACAATCTAGTGTGTTCTTACTGTCACGGTTTTATACTACACTGCTCTCATAAGCCTCTGTTGTGTTATGCCGCCACTGCGTGTCACTATTAAGACAGAACAACAAAGAAAGATTTTTTGGGAGGTTTATAAAGTTCTGGTGGGGATAGACCTGGCACCATCCCCAAGGTGAGAGCTGCCCTACTTCTCTCAGAATAGTCGTACCAGTGCCGCAGTGCCACGCGCAAGAGAGGAGTGGGAGCAGCCGGGAGGGGGGCGGATTCCTTGTGGGAACGATCCCAAGCCACTGCCCAGTACAGACCATCTACCCAGGCTTTGGTGCAGTGTGTGGTAGTTTGGGCAAAATCCAGCAGGCAGTCTAGTTGAGGGCTGGCTACCTCACACACACAAGACGTCCAACTGCGCTTGTTCAAGAGCTGAACCTAGGTTGGCTAACCCAGGCCAAAGAAACAAACAGTGACAGCCCAGAACCACAATACAGGTTTTAAGAGAAAATTTAGTGGTGCAGTCACAATCTGACAACAGCTAGGCTGAAACGCACCCTCTCATGAACTGTTTTCATCTTTAAAGGGGAAGTGACAGACAGAACAATAGCAAAGTACAACTTGATGCTCAGTGAAAGAGGACCATCTCCTGAGTTCCCACCATGTCGCATCATGTAACCTATGTGTGTGCTACAGAAAATTATAAACTTATTATTTCTTATTTCAAAGTCAAGTCTTTGCAAAAGGTGAATGGAAGAACAAAGGGAAAGGCTCACATGTATTGTGAAGCACCACACTTGCTGACAGTGAAGCACCTCCCGAGTCCAACATTAGGAGCTCATGTTGCCTTTGACCCAACAAGAGGAAGAAATACTTACACCCATAGCAGGAAAGGACAGATGATGACTGCCTGGAGGACCTGCCAGTCCCTGCAGAGGGCAGCCAGCCCCGGCATGAGGAACTGCCCTGCCATTTCGATGAAGCTTGCCACCATGGTGATCATGAACCGGTGCCCAGGAGGACAGAGCTCTATTCCTGAAACACAGAGCACATGCAAACGCATTAGCTCCCCACCAGCAAAGGTACCCAAAAGCTTCCCTTTATGAAATTTTCAAGGAGTTAATGTCACTCAAGACCTTTGGCCAGAGTTATGCACAATCCCATAAATCTTGTTTCCTCCTGTATTTAGACTTCAAATACCCTAGCAGCTATAGAGAAGCCCATTAACAGCTGGCTGTGGCAGAAACATTGCAACTTCCATACACCTATGGCCTCTCCTGCAGACCTGCTGTATCCTCATCGTCAGCTTTCCTTCTCTGCCTAGAGAGGCGTTTTACCAAATTGCAAGATGTTTGTTTTTAAAGGGAATATAGGGTAAAACACAATCCAAAGGTTTTGGGTCGAGCCTTTTCACACTTCTCAGAGACACCACATGCCTTTCCAATCAGTTTGCTGGGAGGCAGAAGAGCTCTCAGCAGGATACAGGCTCCTAGCTCATACGGGATGCCACCTGCCCACAGATTAATATGTGACGAATCAGCCAGTTTCAAGCTGGATTTTGCAGAGTAGGTTGTTTCTGGGTTTGCTTTTTGTTTTCGCGATAGCTGATCTTGATCAACTTTCCAACGAGCCAGCCTTCCATCTGCCTTATCCTGTCCTCCATCCTTCCTTTTGCTGTGGGGCAATTTACTGCCATCACTGGTTGTCTCAGCTGCCTTGTGACACACGCGTTCAGCAAATAAAAAATTTCCTTAAATCCTGAATTCTGGCTATCTTTATTCACTTCTCAGAAATGAATTTGAATTTATCAGAATCACAGCTTTGAAAAAAAAAAAATGTAAAAAAAAAATCACAGAAGTAATAGCAGAAAAATTGGACTGCCCTGTGGAAATATATTCAAACAATTTTTTCACCAGTAAGCTGTAATAGAAGCCCATATTTCGTATTTTCCGTTTGCCCACATTCACATCTACAGATTAATAATTAAGCACAATAAACCTGCCACAAATGTTGCGTAGTGCTTACTGCTATGCTGATATAGAAACATAGGTTCGTAAACAGTCATGATATGTTGCTGTCAGCATTGTTGCTTTTCCTTGGGATGTCTCCTAGGGTTGTTTTAAATTAGAATTTAACAGTTGTTAAAATTGTAATTGAAAAGCTATAAGATAATAGGAAGAGATGACAGCTGCTCTTTCATTCACTCTCTCATCTGTAGCTTGTTCAGCTTTTATCACTGTAACACAGATTTAAACTAGCTGACCAGGAACTAGCTTGTAGATCAAATGCAGGATTAACCACCACACATTTTTTCCCCTTTCTTTTCAGCCAATGACAAAAAACTGTCAATGGATTTTTGCCAATACAGAAGGAAAATGTATCTGCTGCCACAACACGCCCAAACTTTCATTAGCTTAACCACAAACACAGCAGCTTTGCAAAAGAAAGGGGGAAAAAAACCCCTCAAAGACTCTCAATTACTATAAAAGGCTTTTATATTTTAATTAGAAAAACAAGATTAAAACACAGAGGTTATTATGACATTAATATGGTTTCATTCTTACTAATGAAGTATCCCAAGCCCAAGCAATTTTTTTTATTCTATGCAAAGAGATCACTTCTGTTTCATTTCTCTAATCTTCAAATATAAAGCAGTTCTGTTTGTTTTTCTAAACCTTAAAGTCACAGTTACTGTCACTCGAATATTCCTTCATTAAGTACAAGGATGAGTCTTGTTGCTATAGAAACAGGAAGTCTGCATTAGATAGGTAAGACTCTGGCATTTCCATTCCATTGCTTAGTTTAGTATCAGATAAAAAAAAAAATAACCAAGAGAACAACTTTTACATGAAGTCAGAAAGAAGCATCTGAATAATAAAATTATATTTTATTGTCACGGTTGCATTGCACATAGCTCCATATGCAGCAGTTCATTGTACAGAAAGGAAACAATTTCAGAGATGGTTTAGCATCTATTTTCTTCTCTGGATTATCACATGCATATGATCAATTTTTGCCTTTTCCTCTAAAAAGCTGTAGAAGACAAAACCAAAAATCCATGCTGTAGCAGGGTGAGCATGACTTTCAAGTGACATCAGCAGGCATACACATCACACGCATCAGTGTATGTGAAATATCACATCTCTGTTGAAATGTTCAACGTTATTAGGACAGCCTACTGACTTTCCAACGTCTCTGGCACCAATTTTATAGGATAAAAGACTCAGCATCGCAGTTTTCAGCCAGCATTTAGCAGTCAACCTTTTTCTACCTCTGTCAGCAAAGCCACTCACTGCAGCACCTCTGCCCCAGCACCGGGAAAGGCACCCTACTGATGCTCACACCGATGATGTGATTCATTCAGGCATGAGGCCTCTACAGCTGCAACAATTTCCACCCGGTTTGCATGATAAATTACCAACTCACAAGAAACCACTAGAAAGCAGAGAACAGCTTTAGCCACCTATGGCAAATCCAGCAAGAAAGCTCCAGCTCCCCCACTCAGTGAAAAGGTTTCCACCTCAACTTTGCAGAGCATGGAGAGTCAAGTAAACTCTTCTCATACATAGAAATCACAGAAATTACTGTCAGTACCAAAACCTCCCAGATATACCCATTTGCTCTACTTGGAAAATTTTGTGGGGGCAAGGAGACAGGTGTGGAAAGGATTTTGATTCCTTGCTCAGCATTTCTACTCTAGGCAGCACAGTCAGTAGATCCAACTTAGATGCCTAATTTCCTTAAGTCCCAGGCAAATGTCTGTATGGGCAAGTTGAAACCTGTACACAAAGCAGCAAAATCAGACATGCCCAGGACACGTAGGACAGACTTTCTCACTGTCAGCAGATGCCCAGTAACAGCAGACACAAGTGCGGAAGCGGGACCCAGACAGCCCCTGTGGCAGAACTGCTCCACACACACTACAAGTACGACCCAGCCTGAAGGCAATGGCCTCACCACATATGGGGTGCAGACCCGGTCCCTGTAGGCATCACTGACATGAGATGCTGAACACACGAGGCTCATTGCACAGTACATGCCTCTGGCTGGGAAATGCAAAAATAAAGTGTAGAAATCCTCCTTCCGGACCCTGTCCTGTATGTCTTTCCTCTACAGAAATGACCACATCAACATCCAGAGCCCATGAGCCTGCCACAGGGAGAGTCAGTGTGGCCCTTCTTCCAAGGTATTCAAGCATTTTTGGGAGCTGCTTGAGGCACTCAAAGTAACCCCACTACTAACTTGCAGGATGTGCAGAGACACGTTCTGGCATGGAAGGAACAGCACTGGGGCCAGACACGTTACTCCATGAGTCTGCGTGCAGCGATTCGTACCAAAAGTATTAAAACTGATGACAAACAAAGGCAGAGTAAAAGTCTGCGTGTCTGTACGAGTGTATGCATTGTGAGAGCGAGCAAGCAGGCACCAGAAGGCAGGGCAGAGCTCAGGTTAAAAGAATGGCACATGCCCATTATGCCAATTGCACCCTACCTGTGATTTCATTCAAGCAATAAAAGGAGGAGGAACAACCTGCCCTACAGACAAGGTATCAAGATGAAGAATAGGACTGGAGTCATGAAATATCAAGACTATGAGAAAACAGAAGAGAACAAAAATTCATTGTTTGCCTGACAATTATGAGGGATGAGAAAAAACAATGAAGCAAAAAACTACAAACATCATCAACTCTTAAAGGGTACGAAAAGCGACCCCAAACTGGTTTGTTGCTGTCTGCCAAGAACCACCTCAGGGATGTGATGAGGTCACAGTAGCCACTGCCTCTTGTCCTCTGTGTCATGCAAGTCACCCTGGCCAGACCACGTGGACATACGCCTTGGTACTTGTGAGTGCATGGATGTGAGAGCATGCACAAAAGAAATCCATGAGCGAATGAGTGTGATTGTGCAAAATCTGCCCTCTTAGACACTTCGGGGAGGGGGAGGGTGGTGGTGATGTAGTAAAATTAACAATTTTGTCCTTCTATACAGCCTGTGACTGAGTTATTCAGAAATCCTATGGGAAATATTTTCAAATATTAATCAAGGGAATAAGAACCACAGCAGCTATATTGGCTGTTCCTAGTGACAAAGGCCAAGCTCAAGAAAAGGACTTTCAAACCAACGTTTTTGGTATACTAAGAGGACAAATTTCAGAGCAGCTCCCCCACTGCTTCATACATTGTCCTTTTTGCTTACCCCTAGCATTGCAGCAATGGTCCTACTTGACCCCTAAGAGAGCCACGTGGACCCCTAGGATGTGTTAGTTACACATTCTTGATACATGCTGAAGGAAAAAGCCCACACTGAGGAGGGCTCTGTCCCCGATCTTCCCCACATTTCCCTCTGGAGGCAGACTTGGAGACATGCTGGGACAGCTTGCCTTGCTGGTGCCATTCCCCTGGAGCAAAGGCAACCCTTGGGTTTCAGAGGAGTTGAGTTTCATGACAGATGCTGGCCTGAGAAAAGCTGCCTCAGATGCCGATGGACCTACAGGGCTTTGAGCTTGATCAGACTTTCTGGCCATCTAGCTTTAACAAGCATGTTGTCGGGGTACACTCTTGCACCTTAGGTGAATGCAGAGTCCAACAGAGGTTTCAAATCTGCAGCACTTTCCAAACACGTCTAAAAAGCACAATAAGTAGTTTTTAGGACCAGGAAAACTATGGGCTGAAGGCAAAATTGTTGCATGCGACTCCTCATTTGATCCACATTGCACACTATGTGACAGCAGTGGCAAGGTTAGAGCTACATTTTCTTGACAGATCAAAACAAAGAAACAACTGGAAACAAGAAGTTCATTGTTATTTCATAGGAGCCAGCCCACAGCACGCCAGTGCAGTCAGATCAGGTAAGATCTCCCAGGCAGGTTTTGGAATATTGAAATTACTTTTCTTTAAATGGGAGCAATTTTCTCTCCCTCACTCCCTCTGTGTGGTCCTTTAGGACTCTGATTAGAAAGAACGGAAAGCCTGAACAAGCCTTCACCGGGAAAAGCAGGTCCATTGCACTGAGCACATGAAACACTGGGAGGCCCTT